CTAGATTTCCAAGGTTCCCGCCATGTGGAGCCAGAATTGAATGCGGTTTCGTGGACACTTTCTTGTATTATTTGCGTTTCCCTCTTGACCTTCCTAATATTATTTGGCAGTTTGAACGCACACGCGCTCCTCGTCGCCCTCAGCTGGAGAGACAAAATACTTGATTTTGGTTGTCGACAGGGGCTGCTGTCCTTTAGCAGATGTTTAATTTCTGCGTGCACATTTGTCATTCACTGGCGCACTCATCATCAAGTGTGGCTGCATGATCAACTTATAGTTCGGCCCTAAGAAATATGCAATGCCGGACTCTGTGTCAAGTCCGCCAAAACCCTCCGAGGCATATTACGAACTTTTAGCAGAATGCGTCATGAGCCGAGCCTGCCGCCGAAATAAGTAACGCCACTTGTCATGCCTACAATACGTGAGTCCTCCTTGTACCTAAGATACTTCCGTACCCTTTTTGTTTCATAACCAGAATAATTTAAAGTAAACTTCGATTGCGGCAGCTATGTTTCTTTTTCAAAGTTATAAAAATCACAGCAGAATGCGAATTTCAGCGAGGTCATTATAATTAAAGCTCCCCCTCTTGAGTTTTTTTTTTTTTTTTAATTTTTATATTACCAATTTACAACCCACTTCCCGAGTATCTTCGAATGTAAGTAAAATAACTTAAATACTACTCTCAATACATTTTCAAATGTGCATTTAGTGTATTATATTAAACACTTTTGTAGAGTATTTGGTACAATACGAGTTGAAGGAAAGGGAGAGGAACTGAAATCCCATACATTGATTTTTAGAGAAGCAGATTAGATCGCGTTCATCCCGTCGTGGGCGGTTTCAAGTACTTCTTTCTTTCTTCTTGCTGCCTGAAGTCGGGACCCGCGTGAAGAGTACGCAGACATATAAATGTCCGCTGGTCGTCACAACGAAGTAACTGAGCCACGCTGTCGACCGTGTTTATTTGATTGTAAAAAAAGTGGGTAAGATAACTCTGCAGCTGTCGTAGGATTCCATCGCACACTTACGTAAATTTATGATGATTCGGTTCGTGAATATCAAATCAAGTCAAATCAAATAAAATTTATTTGACACCACATCGTACAAGGATGGTTTTGTCGGGAGCACAGACAAGAAGCTCCTGAAGTGTGGCTTGACGATGTCTGTGCCCCCGATTGATCTAATCAGCGACAGCGGCTATTATACAGTAGTAAACAAGGAAGAAGTAACAATCTGTACAGAAGTTTGCAAAACAGAACTTAGCATATGTTAGGCCAATAATGCAGTGAAAACAAAAACCGGAAAAACAAGGTTGTATAAAACGAAACATATTGACATCAAAAACAGATTTACTTTCTAATGAATGTGGGAATTGAGTAGTGGTGGCAGAGTGTAGAGAATTGATTGAGTACCGTAATTTGTATGTGCAAAGGGTATATTCCACATTTCACTGTGATGTGTGTTATAGCTGCTAGTGTTTCTTTTTAATTTCGATAATTGTTCAATAAAATTGTTATTTTGTTTTTTTTCCCGCATAGTATCTCTTGAGCAGCAAGTCATTATATAAAAACTGTACAGCACATACATTAAGACACTTAAAAAGTACGAATTTGTACTCAGGTTTTGTCGTAACTACATTTTTGGCGTAAGATCGTTTCGTGTATCTGGCTTCAGAAATTGAACTTGACCTTTTCTCTTAAACAAAAAGAAACCAGAACAAAACAATTAACTTTGTTGCGACACCCTGGTTTGCAGTGTTCCTTGAGGGCACGGCAGATATTTATGTTGTCTGGCAGCTGAATATGAGTTAGAAGTTTGTCACGTGGCTGCAGTGGGATTTAAAGTTATTGACCTTTGCTGGCCAGAAATGAACAAATTGAGCGCCTTCAGAAGCCGAACAGCTGCGAAAGAAAGATGGCGATTTTTGGAATTGACTCGAGCGCTCTACCGCGCGTCAGTGCTGTGCTTATCCCAGCAATCTAAACCTTTGCTAGTATTACGACAACACTTCCGTTTCCCCGCCTCCAAACAGACAAAGGCGCACAATGCCTCCCCCTCAAGCAGTCTTCGTCAATTCTTTTCCTGCCTAATCCGAAAATAATGGAAATATCTTCCTTAAGATAATCTTCTCTCCTCCCCCCCCCCCCCTCCTTTCCCCGCTCAGCCCAACCCCCAAACTGAGCCCCTTCGTTTTTTTTAACTCATGCGCCCACAAATAACCTGAGCAAAAGACGGGATGTTTTCATTATTTTTTGATGGAAAGAAGGAACTCTTTCACAACTGGCCCAGTGAGAACGTGGAAGAAAGCAGCACCCGCAGTGCGATGTGGACACTTGCAATTTTGTTACTTTAGTTTACATTCAGCTTCGATACCCTTTTAACAATAACTGACCTTCACATAATTGGTAAAATACCAATACGATGGCCGACATAAATAAGAAAAGAAAGATAGATCAGAATAAAAGTTTACTCTTATGGAACACCTGAACCTGGACCTACTGAGATTAAGTTTTCGTAAAAGGCTCATGGAGGTAAGCAGTTGCTTTGCGACTTCATATTTGAGCGAGTGAAAAAACGAAGACAGTAATCGGTTCAGCAGTAGCTTAGGAACATACTGTTTGCTTTGAATCGATTTTTATTCATTAAAGACGGAGTAATTCAAATGTTAAATTTTTGTTTTGACTTTAGGAACCAGCAGCATGGTCCCCAAATAGGTCTTATACAGTATATTTTGATTATGAATTCCTTGTTGCAATCCTGAGTTACATTCATGGCATGTTTTGTGTTTGGACTTTTAATGAAAGAATTAAGATCGTTCATGTGCAGCACTCAGTGACCAAGTTTAATACCTAAACGCTAACCTTTCTAGTACCGAAAAACAAAACCCCATCATTTTCATGCACCAAGGTGAGTAGTCTGCAGTTGAGACTATTTTCAGACCATGTATTTGTTTGCTTACGAAATGTATTGGGAATTGCCGTAACGCTGACAGAACTGAGTACCTGAAGCTAGTATTCCACCCCCCCCCCCCCCCCCCCCGCCCGACTGAGCAACGACTTCACAAAATCTTGACGCACATGAGTCACATCTGACCGCACGCGAATCAGGATCAATAAGCTGGGAGGCCTGAGCTGTTTGGTTTAGTCTAATAAGCAGTAGCTACTTTCCTAAGCATATTTCAACTGAATGTAATTTGTTTTCGTCCGAGCTTTTGTTTCAGCTCTTATTATTGGAAGAGGGGCATCGGTGGCCAAGTGGGCTAGCGCACATCTGCTCGGAGCAGGCGGATCAGACGCTCGCGCTACAGAACCCAGAGATTTTGGGTTCAAACCGCTCCCCTGCTTGTTTCGATCTGCATGGAGCGTATGGTCGCCTGCCACTATACGTGGTGCACGTCAAAAACCCCAGCCTAGCGGTTCTACTGCACTAGATAAATTTCTCATCTGCAACTGTGACGCCAGACGCCCACTGTATAGGCCTCGGAACCTAATTAGGGCCGTCTCCGATTATCCCTTCATACGGGCGTTGATCATGTCTGTTCCGCGGGCACATAGGCTGTCCATCAGCTCTTTGGTAGAAGTGCCTACGTCAGTGCCATGTTTTCCCTGCTGGAATCCGCTGGGGGCATCAAGTAGATATCCCCTTTCCCGGGTCGAGGTCATATGTAGGTTCTGGTGTTCTTTTGAGGATAATGGTAGAGAGGGAGGGTCATGTTTCTTTCGCTTGCAAGTACTGCCGCAAGACGATTAAGTAATATCACGGTAGTGAACCTGGTACATTGGTGTAGCCAGGATTTTATTTTGGGAGGCGGGTCCAATGGCATAAATCCCCCCCCCCCCCACCCCAATGACGAAGCACGGTGAGCTCGGTGGTACGGAGGCTCACGCCAAGATTAGCAAGACTCTGTTAAGATAAAACGGGTAAAGCTGCATTGTCATTTTTGAAAACGGAGCAGGCTTCGTTTACAGGAATAGGGGTGTGGTGGTTCACTGCTCTACTGCCGTCGTAGTTGAGGCCCACCAACTTTGAAAGCTTCCTGACAGCACACAACTTCCCCCCCCCCCCCCCATCTTTTTTTTTGAGGTAGCACTGTGTTACCAACGCGTGAGGGTCAGACAAAACACAAGGATAGTTATAGACCAGTGGCGGCTCTGTTCCATGGGCGCCGCCATGTTTTTTTTATGCTGACACAATGACACGGTAAAAGGGGGGGGGGGTTCTGCGCTTCATGTGAGGCTGTTTTTTTAGAAACCTTCGCACATATCGTAGTGCAAGAACGTCGGAAAGGCATACTCACCAAACTCCAAGCACAAGACCAATTCCAAGAGTGATGTAAAGAGTAAAACCCTTGTTTTATTCCCAGCCCCCCTCTTCACAAAAGCCTGCGCTTCAGATTATTTTACATTTTTATTACTGGGGGCTACGATTTTGGACGCTGGTCTATAGGCCACCTGCAACGCTGTTTGGTTTGGCGCTATCCAGCGACTGAGGCAAGAAACATTGGGTATGCCTGGGAGTGGTAGCTGCATTGTTCAAACGTTCGCTATTACTCTGGTGGTGCCGCTATTGGGGAGGAGATCGAAATATAGGGGGCGCTCGTGATCTTCGCCATCGACATCATCATCAAAATAAACATTGCGCTGTGGGGACAACAAGCCCGCCATCGCGTTGAGTGTTGTGTGTGTACTGCGTGATCGCCACGATTACTTCCCGCAATGGTCCGTTATTGTTCCTTGCCACAATGCACGACGTACGCTTTCGAACAAGGTGTCCGTTTTCACCAATATCCGCGCGACAAAAAGCTAAGGGCACGCTGGGTGTGGAAGTTAAAAATGGGGAAGAAGTTGACGGCCCATGCCATGGTGTGCAGTCGGCATTTCTCGGCCGATGCTTTTAAAGTGAAAAGAGCCGACGTAAAAGGTATGTGTTCGAAGACAAGGCTAGCAATGATTCCCGTTTTAAAATCGCTTTGCATTTTGTCATAGACTGGAAGAACAGGTATCTGAAGCCATCATCCGTTCCGTCGGAGAACCTTCCAAAAGGCTCACACGATCGTGTGGTGAAGACCCGGAAGCCGCCTAAAGGTACGCTGTTGTCAAATGAAGGGCACGATTATTACCGCAACGTGTGCTGTTGATATCTTCATATGCCAGTGGTCGTCCTGACATGTTCGTGATTATTGAAGCGTGACTAAGTGCGTCCTCATTCGATATTTTGATCACAGTGCGCGGAGCCAGCCTCGTACGCCAGACGTATCTTACGGCGGTCGTGTACGTCTAATGTCACATAAAATGACCGAGCCAATGATCGCAGTGTCTAGAGTACCGTCCGAGAGCGTCCAAGTGCCATCCGACAGCCCTCTACCCACACGATCAAGTGCCGTCGAAAAGTCTTGTATAAATCGTGTTCTCAAAACGAGTTTTCCGAAGTGGGCGGTGGCGTAGTGGTAAGATGCCCGTCTCATAAATAAGCGGTCCCGGGTTCGATCATCCGTGGGGACGTACTCTTTTGCTTTTGTTTTTTCGAACATCTTATTTTGCCGACGTATTTGGCGATATTTGCATTTATTTTTTTTACAATTAATATTGGACAAAACCGAATGTTGTCGCCGAAATTTCGCTGAACGAAATGGTATGGGACTCTGTGATGGGGCACTCTCTTCATACTTAGCAGATGATACTATATGTTTATGGTTGCTGTGATAACAAACTTATGCTTAATGTGCATGCCTAATGCTCTAGTCATTATGGGCAGTGGTCAAGAAAAGGCTAAGTGAGAATTTATTTCAGGTGACAGAGAGAACCCATCCCTCGATGAGTACAGCCCCAGCACTCTCAGCCAGGTTGACCATGAAAGCTGCAACGGAGCACGCCTGAGGGCCGAGCACGTCATTGTTCAAGAAGACTGTGAGTAGAGTCGAGAGAAGTGTGCACATAAACAAACTAAACAACTTATTAAAAGCATGTGTAGTTTCTTGTGACATAGCATGCCACATCAAAAATAGTTGTTTCCTCCTATTGCAGTGCTTAGATGATGCAACAGTAACAAATAAATAACCACTGGAATAACATTTTTGTTAAAAAAGCTTGTAAAATATTGTAATCGCTTACACAAGTGATTACAGTCATGGAATACCAGTCTGTAAAGGTAACGGCAGGTAGCTCCACCGTATCATGATGTCGCAGAAATGCCTGGGCCTGCATCTGTTGAGGTCTAGCATCACGCAAGTCAATTTGAACAATGGCTAGGCTGCTTATAGAAAGGCGACACGATTTATTAAAATTCAAACGGGGCGTGGTAGAGGGTACAAAAAGGATAGGACATTTATTTTCCGCAGTTATGTGGATATTTAGCATTCCTCATTCTATGGAGTCACGTGTACCAGTGGCATCTAGCTAGTCATAGTACCAAGGAAATGCTGGTACTTATGGCGATTATGTTTAACGTAATTGCTATCGTTTAGGCCAACAATATGGTGCAGTGGCACTTTACAATTGCAGAATCAATTTTAAACTGGTTTTGCAATTCAAATCAAGCGTAGGATTGTTTTGTGGGCCATTTGCATTTCTCAGCACTTTTATTGCATTACATGGTAGGCTTGTTTGATTTAACCAGCACGTTATACACCAGTTCCACTTGGTTACACTCAGCACATTCGATTAACAAGAGCAGCCTATCTTAAAACACGTTGAGGAAATACATTGACCTGCAATAAAATGCTTAGGTGGGTCAGTTTGTACATCATGGGAAATAAGCGCCAAAAGAACAGGGACAAAGAGTAGAATAACTACGACACAGGGCGCACTCTCAACTGAATTTATTAGGAAAAAACACAAACTTAAATACCAACGGGAGCACACCATCATACACCACACGTCACGTTAGTCCCCACCCAGACCATGTTTCTTCTGCACTGCTGGAGGCTGGTACACATAAACTGAACGAGCTCAGTGTTGCTTCAGTCTTGATATTTGCAGAAAGTCAAGGCAATGCAGGACTGGTTCAGCCCTTTTTAATTTATTTCGGCGTTCCATCTTCAGCAAACGTTTTATTGCACTGGCCATTCAACAAAAAGCTTTGACAGCAATGTAATTACAATGTGATCCTTAAACATTGTTGAAACAAAAGAACTAAAAACAAATATTGGATGACATGCATGTCGCAGCTCAGTTCGAGACCGTTCTGTGCGTTTTCTTATTTTTGTTCCTATGCGTTTCTACAGTGTTGAAGAGCTAGTCTTAGCCTTTCGTGTTATTTTATGTGAAGCTCGTTTAAACCGTATTCACTCATTCCAGTGAGTGAGCACTGCATATAAATCATTACTGCAACTGCTGTATGGAGTGTGTTCGAGATAATCCCTTCATTCATGTGGATAACCATTTGCACGCATATGAAACACATTCAACGTTTTGCTCATTTACTCGCAACACATTCAGGTGACGATGGTGTCTCCTCCTGTGGAGCTGACAGCGAGGCAACAGTGAGCTGTGGGGATGACAGCGAAGCAACTCTGACCTGTGAGGATGACAGCGAAGCAACACTGACCGGTGATGATCAGAATGAAGCGACAATGTCCAGTGAAGAGTGGAGCGAAGCAGCGGAGTCGTGCGAGGAGCTCAGCGACAGTGACTACGATGCAGAGTGTAGGTTTTGAATTTACACTGATATAATGTAGTTGTTCCATCCTTCAAGTTTATTTTGATATCTGACTGCCTTAAAACATATAACTTGTTTCATTTGTTTGTACTTAAAAGCAAGTTTAAGTTGAGCGATAACATTTGTCACATTGTGCCTTTTATGAAGTACACTCAGACAAAATTATTGTTCATGCCGGCAAAGCAAACTTTCTTTTACACTTGCCATTGTGCAAAATTCAGTCTAAAATCGTTAAAATAAATCTGGTTACGACAGTCATTTGATCTGGTTACGACAGACATTTGAAATTTGGTAACTTTACTATCCGTACCATTGATTCACTTTCGTATCTCCACACTACATATACTTTTACGACAAACTGCAATTTTGGTAACTATCAAGGTCTCTTATAACTAGTTTAGACTGCACTTCTGTTCAAACTTCGGCTTTGATGCAAGAATGGGCGACATAGCTTGTCTTTCGTCAGTAAAGATTCGACTATGCGTTTACCAGCAATTCCACTGGTAATCAAAATGCACCATTTTGAATCTCATTGCATCTCACAACAGTGTGTGATATTGAACCAAAGTGTCCCAAAACCAGTGGCTAAGAGTTATGTCATACTTTTTGCCACTTTCTGTTAGGCGAGGCTACCAAGCATAGGTTTGGCTGCAACAAAACAGACACCTCGCTTCTGTGCCAAGGGCCTCTATCAATATAATTTATTTATTTGAATACGCAGACAGATTTTCTCGGCATTGCTTTTTTTTTTTTTTTTTTGGAGTTGAACCTGACCTCTAACAACAAGTAAAATTTCCTAGCCCATCAAGCAAACCGAAATGCACTGCCGCACCCGCTGTTTCTCCGAGCACACCGGTGCTATGCGCTGAAGCTTGACCCAGGAACACTGTTGATAAATGTGCTCTCCATTCCATCCTATATCATCAGTTTTCAGTATGTTTTGTGATCAAATGTGTACTTTCACAACCGTCACGAGTCGAGATGGCCAGGTTTGTGGTTTCCATGCTAACATCATATTTGCTCTCATTTTATTTAGGGACCGAGAAGTCGCTGCTTAGCACAGGATCACCCTTCCAAGTAGATTCGTGCATTCAAGTGGACACCCTACTGGAGCAGAAGCAAGGGCCCCGAATTTCGTTGTCGATGGTAAAGTCCGACAAAGAGCTTGTCATTCTTTCTGGTGTTGGTTCACTACAGTTGATGAAAAACATTGTAACGGAATTCGATAATGTGAGAAAGCAGATGACTTGAAGGCTCGTTTTCTGTGTTCGGGTGACCTTGTTTTGATGGTTGTGGTGAAGCTCTACCACAACGTCTCTATTAGCTTCTTGGCTTTTTTGTTTGGTGTTCACAGAACAACTGCATCCGAAAACCTGAAAACGGCAATCTGTATCCTGAGTCACGTGCTTGGTGCTGCCGTCTTCATTCCATCCGACGAGTCAATCGAGGAAAACCTTACAGTGTATTTTAGAAAATTTCCTCACACTAAGATCATCCTTGACTGTACAGAGATAGCCATACAGAGGCCAGCTGACCTGACATCACGAATAATCACTTACAGCCTCTACAAAAAGACATACACCGCAAAAGTGCTGATTGGGTGTGCCCCAACTGGCATGATAACCTTTGTAAGCAACGCTTATGGAGGAAGAACTTCCGACTGCTTCATCACAAAGGAATCGAAAGTTCTCGAAAAGTGCTCCCCACTTGAGCAAGTCATGGTGGACAAAGGGTTCTTAATTGACAAGCTGTGCGATGATGCCAGAGTAGAACTCGTTCGACCACCTTTCCTGAGGAACAAACAACGAATGTCGCGCACAGATGCAGTGCTGAATCAAGACATAGCCCGTGCAAGGGTACACGTTGAACGTGCTATTCAACGCTTGAAAGTGTTCAGAATACTCCAGCAGCGCTTTCCAACGCACCTGATGCCCCTCTTTGACGATGTAATGAAATTGGTGGCAGGAATTGTGAACCTTTCACCTCCAATTTTTGCCCATGACAAGTTTTTGTAATTTTAAAAGAAATAAGGGGATGTAAACACTAAATAGCACCCTTGTTTCTCATAAACAAATAAAGAGATAACACTAACCAAATCCGTAAATAAGGAAGCCCTTTCTTTCACAACCAACTCGGTTCCTTCGTCAGTGGTGGACTGCGGCTATGGCCGGCGAGGAGCATAATTTTTTTTGTTTTCTTGAACCACCGTACCAGAAGAAAACAAAAAATGCTGCTCCTCGACGACCACAACCGCAGTCTAACCCTGGCGAAGGAACCGAGTTTGTTCCGAAATGTAGGGTTTTCCTATTTACGGATTTGGTTAGTGTTATCGCTTTATTTATTGTAGCACCCCAATCAGAGACTTCTCTCAAAATGTTCACTTTCAATGTCATGCCATGTCTAGCTAATGAAAGAACATACTAAAAGCTGCAAGTCCCATTGTTTCTCCTATTGTCATGTACCTATTTGTTTTATTAAACTACCTGTTACACCTGCGAAAATGACCATGTGTGAGGTGTTCTTGCTTAATGCCTCAAAAGTGAACACAAAAACACGGCCTTTATCATACCACTCCTTTCAGGGCACGGAACAAGTACTCCAAGTAAATGAAGCGGACCGCCTCGACACATTCATCAAAACATTTTTGGCTGAACTTAATGTTTACCAGTCTCCAGACCGTATCCGGCTCATAGACGAAGTAGTCACAGCTGTCGGTACCCGTGACTCCCATACCGATCTGTGTCTGGGTGTAATTGCATGATTTGGGGTCCTTTCCATTTTTAAGAAAGGAGTTGCTCAATACATTTGGGCATTTCACCTCTAATAGATTTCTTCTGCCTGGGCAGCACTGGCATTTATACGTGACTATGCCGTCAGGGGAACATCCTAGGAAGGGCATCTTCTCCCACACCATGAAACCCATGTTGTCAATCCTGGCGCAGTGACCATCCTTAGTTAGTACATTAAGGTACTTCAACTTGGCTTTCCCTTCGTTCTCCTGACCCCTCTCCATGGAGGCAGATTGATAAGTGTTCAGCCTGAGCACTAGATCGAGCAGACCGCCGACATTGTGTGGTCTAGGATGTATCGCCGGTTTTTTTACAGACGCCACCCATGTGCGGAATGAGTGGCAGATTGATGCCGTGGCCATGCCCTTCCTGTACAGCATCCACTCGGGCTCTGCAGATTGTGCTTTTGTTCTGCGCTCAATTTCTGCAATGACGTCCTTGGTTAGTACTCGCTTCAGCACTGTCAGGACGTTCTGGAGCTCTTCTTCTGGCATTCGCCGCAGTACTTCCAGCAGGTTAGGTGGACGAGATGCCACCACAGAAGAGCATGATGCTCCACTCGCCTGTCCTGAAATGCAGTATACACTTTTATTTGTGCCAAGCCATTTATTCAAGGACATCATCTAGTTCTTGGCAGTATCTTTCCAACAATCTGGATGTCCTAGTTCTATCCGCCTGAATGGTTTCCATGAATATGGGTAAAACATATCAGGAAGGTGCACTAAATGCATGACCCGATGCAAACCAACGCATGTTGCGCTCACATTATGAGATGTCAACAGGCTTTACATCAGGTGTGTACCCAGGTTTAGTTTTATGTGGAAAAGCTCTGTAATGATGCAGCATCGTTTGGCACTGCACCATGGTTATGTCAAGCCATTGCAAAATTCCACGAGGTTGAAGGAATAAAGGTTGCCCTATGAATTCGACAAGTAAACCATATCTTACCTGCGTGTGGCCGTTTCCGCTCGTGGATTGCAATCGAGCACACATATGGGAGGTCTTTCTTCAGTCGCCCAAGAATATTAGGTTCCACAGGGGGCAGTGCAGGGCGTTGAAACTGAAATTATTTAAATTCAGATCTGCAGGTCACGACACTACAAGGGAAAAAGGTTGTTCACGTACACAAACTGCAAGAGGCTCTTATGTGCCACAACTATGCCCCAACCACAAGACTTGAGGCAGTGATTAAAGTAACCGGAACCGACAACATTTTTGGAACAAAAGAGCGTAATGTATCCTTTTTGCAACTAGTCCATGGGACATTAAAAGTTGGTCACTATTTGCATTAAAATATTGACTAGTGATCAGTATTTGCCATTCAGCCCACATTATTTTACCGTGATATGAGAAGCCAAAATTCGACGTGCTCCTGGTTGTTGACAAGTAAATTAATGCTCGGTTAAGTCAGACACCGCAGCTTATGACAACGACCACTCAACACTTTCACAACAAGTGGTCCTTGGATCAACAAAACTAGCGATAAAAATGCCACAGATGACATACTTGGAAACTGGGCTTTGCGCCGAGATGACAGAGGAAGATTGGTGAGTCTTTTTGTTCACAATGTCATGAGAGCTGGAGCTTACCTTTGGACAGAAAGGAACCTTTGTCAACGTCGTTGGGGCATACTTGACTTTCACAAGCTCTTTGGCGTGCTGACCCCACGCCTGTGGTAAATCAGTACTTGAGAGCTGCGGTAGTTCACGCATCCGGTTTGCCTTAAGCAGCACAGCTACACAATGCTTGCACCAGCTTGAGTTCCTGGGAGCAACACCAAAGTAAACAGCCAATTGTTCAATCCCAGGTTTAAATTTCAGTAACAGGCACACCGTATGACAACCCAAAAGCCACCCATCATGAATAAGACACCACTGAAATGTGGTGAACCTGAATTAGAGAGGACTCCCCCCCCCCCCCCCCCCCCCAAAGCAAACTGAAAACAAAAGAATTCTTCTAATCTAGTTTAAGCAAATAATCAGTAACAAATGACCACTTACCCTGCCACGCATGAACAGGAAATGCTTAGGATCTCTCCGTGATTAAGATCCAAATTCACGGTGTGTGGCTCGCCGTGGAGCGCTGACGATTGCAGCACGTAGCCTACGACGCGAAGGACACCCAAAGCTGGCCCGGGCGCGACGCTGCATTCTATTACGTGCTCGCAATTTAGAACATCTTCGCCTTCAATGAGACACCTCTTACTGTCTCCCACATACTCCAGGATCGTTGCAAGGGAGATGGGTACTGAAAAGCAATAAATAATGCATACCTTACTTCGAGCATCTAATAGGACGTCAAAACAACGGGGCTTGTACATAGTAGGTGCAACACTGCTAGCAATGGTTTCCTCCCTTTTCGCTGGGAGCTTTGCCCACATTTGATGCGATAGACCGTTCGTGTGTTTCGCAAGCACCAAGAGGCATGCTCCGAGTTGAGCTACTCTTCACTGGCGCTACACACTCCCCTTGTATGTATGTGAGATTCGAAGTAAACAGTCCAAATAAAGTGACGGCGGACAGGCGTGCGACCCGCCCCGCGCTGCGCGTGTACGTGCAAATCTACCAAGCTCTTTGGTGCTTCGGCAGTTCTGCAGAATGTCTTTTACATCATGCAATAAGTGCAAGCGAAGCCAAAGTTTGAAGCGCGAACACCTAGCGATTAACGACGCGCGCAGCGCACGGGCGGCCACGCCGGCAGTCGCAATCGAAGTTCCGGGCGTTACTCCGAGCGTTGCTCCGAGCTAGCCCCGCGGGCTCTTCTTTCAGCTACAACACACGCATTTATGATAAGACAGAGAATAATATGTACGTTCTAGTAAAAAGATACCGATGACATACCTTTCACGAGGCGAATATCGCCTTCGTCCATGGCTGTAATCCTTTGAAAATGGCTGAGGCGGGTTTTTGTTGTACCCATCGCTTCAGTTCCCCAGTTGGCCGCTAACGGCGTGACGGTCGGCCCCCCTCCCCAATAGCCTAGTGTCTGAAGCAAGAAATACTGGGTAGACCAGGAAGCCGTGATCCCATGACATGCAAGTACGGCGGAAGCTGCGGTCTGGCGGGCCAATCGGAACGTGACTTCGTATCACCGGAGTGCGCTTTTACTGCGAAGAAGTATCAGTCTTTTCGCTGCGACATGCTCGGAAATGTGTGCGTTGCGCTCGTATACGTAGCGGATATCGAAGCCGTCGGCACGCCATAGGGGTCTTATCGTTCACCCTTTGCTAAGTTACACCGAGGCCTTTGCTAAGTTACACCTTGGGCTCTCACTCTACTGGCGCCGCCTGGCTGTTACCGGCAGGCTATACTGTCACAAGAAATTATACAGCCAAAAAAAAAAAAAACACCGTCCTCGAACAAACCCTAGGTGCCCATACATAGATCGACTGTAATTCTGGACAATCAGAAAACCAAAATATGTTATCTATTAAAGGTTTAACGAATTCGTGCTACAGAACAAGATGCCGAAGGAAAGAGAATCTTATTTTCGCTAGGCCGCTTTATCTTGCAGTGTGGTAAAAAGGCAGCAGCGGCATATCCTCGGGGCGATGAGAAGTCGTCAGTCCGAACTCGTCGTTCTGTCAGTCGGAGAAATGCCATCACGCACCATACACAAACGCGCAAACCACATGCCGAACGTGGAAACGAACTAGAACACTCTTGTGCCTATGCGTAGTGAGAATATGTAGGCTCTTGATAGTTTCTGATGTTCCGTGCAACGAAAAAATAAATCTAATAAAATATTGCATCGGATGCCACGTCGACGTGCAAAGCAGAAATCAAGACGAACTTCATGTCGCATCCGTGTGCGATCATCGTGACGGGCGTCTCGATGGAGGGAAATTTGATGAAGTGAGGGAAACTTCGCCACAAATAGGGAAATTTAGGCGTCCAATGAAAGTGGGAGAAACATAAAACGCCCGTCATGTCCGCAGTTGGGCTACAGGCGGTCGCCCTCTGTCCGGAGGCCCTATTCCCAAAAGTCTAATCTCTCCTCAAGATCCTAGCGACTCTGCGCGTAACAGCGGCGGAAGCTGAGTGCTCTTTCTCTTAACTACGACGGTTGAAAACATAGCTGAGAGCGTCCACTTCGAAGGAGTGTCTGCTCGGTTTAGTGCTTTTGAATGTTCACCGCTACATTGATGTTCAAGCGGTGGACATCCTATGTATTCTTTGCCGTGAACGCAGGCGGCTGCATCTTAATATGTAGACGCTTGGCAGAAATGAAATGATCAAGAGAGCCTGTAAATTGCTTGCTGAAATAACTAGTCACAGTTACTTTTTTATTCGTGGTAATTTCTAGTCGAAAGCACGTAATTCTGATCAATACACAAGGTGTGCGTGAGCGCAGCGCCAACCGTTGCTTACAGTGCAATTGGTTTTACAAATATTTTAATAGTTCTTACATCACTGACATTTTTTTTATATTATCACCATGTGTGCTTTTATTATGTCCACTTTAGTTTGATTTAACTATGTATTTCAGTGACGATAGTTTGTAATACTTTTCCTTGAAATCGCCATCCTTCAGCCCAGAAATCCTTCAAAATATCCCTTCTCTATATATCTGAGATCAAGTTCCGCACCCCATTAAATAAGCATGAATCAAGAAATATTCAGTATTTTATTTATTTCAGCATTCTCTACACCACAAACATTCCTCCCGAAAGCATGTCAGTTGGAGATAGTCTGCGCTCCCCCCTTGCTCGGTGCCTCGTGCAAGACCGACGCGTGAGCAGGGTAGCGAGGGGGGGGGGGGGAGAAGGAAGGGGGGGTTTGAACCCTTAACCCCCCCCCCCCCCCCCCCCTGTGCCTACGCCACTGATCTCGTAAGTGCAACTCTTCTTTTTGTTACGACGTGGCAGAGCCTGTCGCGAGTAAGACAGGCGTCCGGCGGTGGCTGAACGACTCCGAGGTTTATTCCTGCTCTGAAGAAAAACAAGGTTCGAACGTCACGTGCCAAAGCGAGAAACAACACGATCAAAAGAAAAAGAAAATATACGCACGTGCTTTGGCACGTGACGAACATGATTACAAAATACACAGGAAGACGTTCGTAGAAAACAATAACATGGGGCTGCGTTTTCTAGACTTTCATTCGCCTAATCTGATTGTAGCTAAAATTACTTTAATTAATAAAAAAACACGTGCCCATATTATATACTCGATATAAAATTTAGGTAAACATGTTAGCAGAGTGTGCCCTTGTGTTGAAATTCCGGTTTGAGAGCAATTTTAAGAGTCAATATTATTACTCCAGGCTGTCTGTCGCTTCAACTTTCCCTTCAAGAATAAATCAAGAGGCCTTTGTTTGTTCGACGTAGGACAAACAAAGCGATGTTTGAATTATGGATTACTCGAGGACAAGAGGGCTGTCAAGAATTATGCAACACACTCTGAAATTGCAAGGCATGAGGATGAGTGCATAAAATATCCGCCGGTGTGTGGGGACATTATTGTTTTATGTAAAGAAGAAATAAATTGTGCTATACATTTTTAAAAGAAACAAGTGCGAGTGGCTCTGTGGGGAATTGTACTAGCCAGCTTTCCACGGCACTGGATAAAGTGTCGCATTTTTTTTGTTTTTTTTTTTTGTTGTAAAAAGTGGAAAAGAGAAATGGGAAACGTTGTTTAGAATCTATTTTTTTTTTCCAAATAGTTTCCAAATAATTTGTTAATTTTTCTGTGCTTGCTTGACACCTTTCTTATATATTTTTGCATAGAAATTTTTCGATTTAGTTTGTAATAGGCATACGCGTTGTAAACCTTTTATAAAAATATGAAAAGTATTACTACGTGCATTCTTCGGTTTGAAATAGACGTCTGCGCAAATACCAGTAAAGCTTGGCAATGTCACTGCTTCGAACGTCAACATTTTATACCTTCGTAAGAAAATTAGCTGCAACTTTCACGTCTAGCGGTTGTAATTTGTCGATGTAATCTAAGGTGGCCAAGGGTGGTCCTTGTTGGCAACTGGCTCTCTTAGGACAATGTGACCAATGTGGACTTTGAATTAATTGGTGTAGCTCCTTGATGACAAAAAAAAAAAGCTAAAAATGCAAAAAAAAAAAACGTGAGAAAAGAGTTGGGATATGGCTTGAGTCTTTGGGGGAGTCGAGATGGTCGGACAAGTGGTGAGTGTTTATGCTCTAAATAAATTAATTGATAAAAGCGAAGAGAAGCAGCGGATCCAACTATCGCTTGGCAACTTGCACGCCACCAAGACCCAGACCATTGTGGTGCTGAACCTACCTCCATCAACAGCGGGAGTAACTTCAACAACTTAATTGGCGGAGTTGACGGTATGGTTGTGGCTTCCTTTGAGCTGATATAACGACAACCCTGCCCTCCTGGCTGATGAAGAACGACGTCCAGGAAAACTGGTGAGCACCAGCTCAGCTGTCCACGAAACGATATCTCAGTAAGAAATTATTAGGGTTTCCACGCGAAGCGGACAAGAAGACATCCCATGAGAGGTCTTGCAGGTTACGACCCAAGAGGAGTGGATAAGGCAATATCCACGAGGCAATCCTTGTGGATTCGGACCCGAAGCGGACAAGGCGCCATTCCAAAGGGAGGCCTTGTAAGCTATTACCAGGAAATTGTGGACAAGACGACTTCCCCGTGAAAGTTGTGGGTTA